TCAGTGGGGTTTTCCATAATGCACTGTTTTATTATTCCTTGCTTTTGTAGCAGTTTGATGCTAAAACTTTTGGTGCATTACTAAAATATAACTGCAAATCAGTAAATACTGGAATTATTTTTTATTTTAAAAAATAATTTATTTTTGTGCAGTTGTTAAAATAAAGTGATGCAGTCAATCATCCTGCAGTGGTTCACCTAATCTTGAGAGAATTTAAACCCACCAACACTTTCAAGCAGGAGGTGCATCAATCAGCTGAGAACATCACACCTTACACTGGAGAACCATTTGTCAAACCCTGCTTGCAGGGAACAGACCAAGCCACAGCCAATGCACTCTGGGCTGCTCATGGAGAAGTTTTAAGGTTTCTATTCTTGTATTTCATTACCAGGGGACCAGCAGCCTACTCTGAATTTCTGCCTTTGCCTTCATGTGTTCTGTCAGTGACCACAGCCCTGACACCCCAGTTTTGACAGGCTGGTTAGACAGCTGTGGTCAAACAGCATCTGAGAAATGCTATCTTTGCTATTTCTTAAAATAACATAATTAGAAAATCCTTTCCTAAAGCACAGTTAAACTTTCATGTAATTATTAATATATAAATAATTATTGACAATATAATAATTTGTTTATAGTTTTATTTAGTCACTTTAAGTAGTGCAACTTCAGACCATGGTGGAAAGATCAGGATAACAGCACAACTCTCTGTCTCTGGTTTCCCCTTCCACAGTGTTCCCCTAATTAACCTCCATAAAGCTGAACACAGGATGCACAAGAGAATGACAATTACAAAGACATAATTAAGATAATTTATTCATAAAATCATTTGAGACCAATGTATTTTTAACAGAAGTCCTAGTTTGTACAGTTGTGTCAGATTCTTTGCAACTGTTATAAATAATTTTATAGCAAGGAACAGCAAAATAAAAATCTATTTTCATTTATTTCCAGGTGACCTAGAAATACTCCTACCAGCTACAAAAGGATCAAGAGAGTGGTTATGTTTTGAAGAACTTAACTTCAGTTTTCAAGAATTTCTGAGTCTCATGTAAGACCTGTAGGGTTTAATTAGAAGCACAAAGCAGAAACAGAATATTTAAATTCAACAGCCACAATTTCAGGCACATCTGCTAATTAACTTTCTTATGTCAATTAAGTGTTTGCTCAAGGATAAAGGTAATAATAAAGACCCACGTTCAGGTCTTGTCTGATCATGGAGGGAGAGAAGGCAAAATGGAAACTTGCAGCTCACAAAGTGAGGAATGATGCACGACTGCATGCAAATGCTGTCTAGCTTTTCCCATAATGAACCTGGACTCTGGGCAGCCAACCAGGATGTGGAAGTAGAGCACCTGCAATTTCCAGACACTCTGGGCACAAATGAAGGAGATATAATTGGATATAACTTTAGAAAGGAAAAACATGAGTGTGTGATTAAGTATTTCAAGATCACTCTCAAAAAGACAAAAGTTGGAGGCTGTGTTGTCCAAAAGACATGGAGACTAATTAATAGAAAATAGGGGGGGCTGCTGTTTTATCTACAACAGATCAATGCTTGGCTAAGTGACTGGGAAATGTTATGTGTTCTTGAAAAAAACACACACAGGAAAAATTTTAAATTCGTATATTTAAAAAAAAACTGGAAGGACACCAAAGCTGGAACATAAGCTGTTCTAAAACCCAGAATTGTTCAGTGTTCCAATTATTATTTAGATTTTTAATGCCAAAATTGATATTGAATTGTCTTTGAAAATTGACTAGGAAATAAAGAGGGATTTTTGCAGAACAATACCATCAAATTTCTTATTTCAAAAGAATTCAGATGCCACTTTTTTGAATGGTTAACATAGAACTCTGCATTTCAAATGCCTCTCTTACATCTCAAACACAGAAGTCAGAAGGCTATATACTCTTCTATACCAATCTTTATTCTTTAGATTTCAAATGTCTTCCCATAACAATAAAGCTTTAGAGACTAAGTGTATATCAACACAGTTTAAATGTATATGGACATAAAATTTATTGCCATTGTCATCAGGATCTGTTAAACCCAATCTTTATGTCTGTTTCTGAAAATGCACAGCAATTAATAATTACCATAAAAATTCAGAAAAATATTCCAGTTATTTAGAACAGTTACACTTCTGTTTTTTCCCCACTTAAATATCAACAATGCCTGTATTCACTACAGTGGTGAAGTTGATGAAAGGAGAACATTATCAAGAGTAACCCTTAAAATGTTGCTCCATTCCATTCACAAATGTCGAGACAAATGAAAGTTCAGCATGTGGTTCACTGTCGCACAGAGATCCTCATGGAAGGAAAAATCAACAGCTTCTGTTACAGAAATTGCTACAATTATCATGGCATTATCAAATCTTCTCTACTTCAATGCCTGAATACACAAAGGCCAGTGCAAAAGGTTTTCAGTAATGAAATGGACCCATAAAAACTGGAAAACTCTCTTCTCTGGTAATCTCAAATTTAAGAACATGAGCTATTCACACAGTATCAGATTGCAAAGGGCTGTTTGACAAGCCGGATAGATCTGAAGGCAGATTACAGAGCTGCCACAGCAAATCTCCTCTAGTGCTGACTAACAGGTTCTGCCTCTTGTAGCTCAGAGCCCGAGGATGGCTCGGGGCTGAGCTCCACGGGCTGGACAGGACAGACACTCTCCCTCAGCATGCAGAGCAGGTTATTCACAAATTCACTCTGCTCAGTCCCACTTGCCATCTACATTTGAATAAAAAGGACGTTCTGTGGGATACAGTGATGCCATCCGGCAACACTGAAGCCACAGCAACCCCAGCACCTGCCCCAGCAGGGAGAGGCTGCTCCAGAGGGCTCCTGGCCTGGGCGAGAGCATCATGGGCAGCTCTGGAATCTTACTGTGAAGTGAAATCTGTAAGGATTCCACCCTGGCATTTCTGAAGAGCGTGGAACAATAAACAAGCTCCCAGGACAGAAGGTTCTGGGTGCCGGGCTGTTGGAGGCGACAAAGGGCGCATTGTCCGGGAGAGCCATCCTTGCACTGGAGGGCTGGAATAGCAATGTGTGTGCAGGAGCACGGCAGGCAGGGAGGACAGGGAGGACAGGACAGGGAGGACAGGGCAGGACAGGGAGGACAGGGCAGGGAGGACAGGGCAGGACAGGGCAGGGAGGACAGGGCAGGGCAGGGAGGACAGGCTGAGCTGCACTGGTGCACACTGACCTCCGCTGGAATGCGCTCCAGGAACAGCCACGGCAGCTGTCACACACCAGTGCTCCAGTTGGCTCACGGCAAGGAAGTGGCAATGGAGCAACCTCACCACAAGCACAACTTGTTATGTCACAAGCTCCCATTTCTCAGCCTTAATAAAGATAAAAGGATTTTGTCTTAAGTGGGATTTCTCAGCTTTTCCTTCTAGGGGAGGTTTCCGATGACACGCAGTGACCAGAGCCTGGCTCCACCGTCCCTAAGCGAGTCCTGGCACAGGTCCTGGCAATGCTGTCTGCATTACTGCTCCTGTCACAACAGTGCAGGCTCAGTGTCCTCTGCACGCCACAAACCTGCTCAGCCAGAATGAGCGAGTGCAATCAGACACCGTGAATAATTCAGGCGGCAGAAGTCACTGTGTGCCCAGCTGGGAGGTGCCATTTCTCTGCAAAGCTGCACTTACTGACCCAATGTTAACTCTGCTTTTGGCGAGTTCAGAAAGAACTGGGGGAGCAGCTCGCACCAGATCATAGCTGTGGATAGACAGTGATGTCCCCCTGAAGCACAGTGAGGTTGTAACGTCAGTGTGGGACAAGTTCCATGTTCCTCCTCCCACAGTGAGCACTCACTAGTGACACCAGCTTAACGGGACAGGAGCAGCTGATGGGTGAGGAGGGAGAAAAGTGAGAACTCCAAATGGATTTGCTGAGCAAAACTGAATTCCAGATTTTGACCATTTGTTTTGATTTTCTTAGAAAATAGCTGCATACCATTTATGCTCCAGGGCAGAGAATCAGGCTTATTGTTTATGTATGTTAGAAGCAGGCATCTATAATTTACCTTTTATATTACCATACAATGTGCTGGGGCCTCCTAACTCAATTAGGCCATATTTTGCCAGGCCCATGGTTTAGGATAGGAAAATGTCCCCCAGAAGCATCCTGCAGAATTTTATTACCCCACTAAACTCAAAGGCAACTTGTACAGTTCATGTACAAAAGAAAGTGGCAGTCCCTGGCCAAGCATTTCTTGTTACCTGGTTTCTGGGTTTATTTAAGGCAGCTGGTTCCAGAATTGCAACACTTGGATTCTCCAGAACACGTGAGCATTCTCTTCCACTCCTTCAGTGCAAAGTCCATTGACTGTGTCACACTACCTCCAAACAAAGTTGCTGGATGCTGCATTGAAATGAATACGTGTTCCCTCACTGTCATTTGTTAGGAAAGCTGTAGAGACAGGAATTTCTGCATTCTGACCAACAGCAAAAATCTGGGAGGTTTCAGAAGCCACGAAAGCTGCTTTACTTAAGGAAGAGCTCTAAATCCTCATTCTCCCAGAGCTCTGAACAAGTTGCCCATTTGACCTAACCACATAATAAAACATTGATGCTCCAGCTTTTATTCAATTATCATATCACTTACCTTCTGTTGCCACAGCAAAAATATCTGATACATAAATAATGCACAGACAAATCACTCTAGCAGCCACCATGGTTAGAAGGGAAAGGATGATCCAAATCAATATAATTTTACTTAAAAGGTCTTGCTTACACATGTTCTGGAAGTCTGAGAAGGCTGCCACAGGTATTCCAAATTATACAGTTTATGATTTCAAATAACACATGTAGATTAAAGAAGGACTTCATTTATTCCTAAATTGAACTAAAAACCAAAATGAAGTACCTTAGCTGCTCCTTCAGTCCTGCTCATGGGCTCTGTTGTTACTGCTGCTTCCCTGTACCCTTTGGGCATCAGGTAGCTAAAAAAAACCCCAACAAAACCAACCAAAAATAAGCACACACAAAGGAAATGCCCAGTGGAATTTCTAAAAGCAAAATCCTAAAAGACATAGTCAGGACAAATGAGAGAGTACAGCCCTGAAATTTTGTTCACTGTTTTCTCTGACTCACCATTGATTTTTCTCCTTTATAAATACTTTGTTCTCTGTATTTTGTGCTGTATTCTTGTAAGAGATCAAATGAAAAGAATTTTAAGATGGTTTTCTCTACTTCAGCTTCTGGAAATGAAACAAAGATTTGTTAGGTTATCTATGGAAAAGGCAAATAGCTAATGCAGAGCAAGTCGTTTTGATTGCCTAAGATACTTACCCACAAACTGCTGATAGTAGGAGCTGCTTTCTTTTTTAAAAAAAGCTGTATGCATTCAGCTTCATGCCTTTTTTTTTTTTTTTTTTTTTAATAAAACCTTCAGAAATTAAAAGTTGTATCTGAAACACAGCATTAAGATCTTCAGGATTGCAACAGAACATTCTTTGTCTACCTGCTTCCCAAAGTGTTTTTTGGAGAAAACAACAATCAGTTTCATGGGAAAATGACTCATTTTATATTCACCTTGATTTGGGAAGAAGCTTATACAGATGGCCATTAAAAAATATATTCCAGCCTCCAGAATCTCCTTTTTCTGCAAACAAGTTGCTCAGAGAAGGCTGTGGATCTTATGGACAATATCCACAGCATGGGGGTTCACCCCTCTGTGTGAGGAAAAACAGTGGTAAAAATATTCAGGGTAATTCATTAGGGGCAAAAATACCAAAACACTGTGGAGCACCATTTCTTCCTCCAAGATACACAGAGGTGACATTCTAGTCTAGCAAGAAAGAGAACAAATGAAAATACTAAAATTCAGGTAAACCCCACCTGAATCACAGCAGCAGATTCTCTCTTACCCCAACAGTCTGGCTCCTCACCCCAGCAGTTTAAGATCTGGCAGCTGTATTGTACAAATGAATTCAGAACATGCAGAACCCAGAACTAAAAAAATCCAGATCAACCAGACATGCTCAATTCAGGCAACATAATGGAACCCCCCCCCCCGAACCCTACAACTGTATTTTTTCATGTTGCAAGCAGAAGAAATAGTCCAAATTGCCAATTGGTTTCCAACAACCTTAACTTTTTGAGACATAATACTTTAATAACAAATGACTAAGCATTATAAGGTTTTTGTTTAAAAAGTGTTTTCACTTTAATGGGTTTAGTTAATAACATCATGAATGGTACAAAACTGTCCTTTTTCACATTTCCATACATTGTATTATGGACCACCTGAAAATCTGGACTAAGAATGCATAGTGTCTCTTAATTAGCCCTAGCTTCATTTTTGCCATATGTAGAACAGATATGCAGAAAAACATGCATTTATTACCAATGACATGTCAATATTACCTTAAATAATAAAACACGGCAGAATGTGCACTGTGAAATGCACAGCTTTGTAATAGGGTAAGAGAGACCAAATGTCAAGTGCTGGCAATGAAATAAATGGTTGATGACACACTGACGTTTTGTGACCATAGTATTAGCTTTTCTGCTTTAAAATTGTTTTAAATAGTAGTAAATATTTAAATAATATTTAAAATATATTTCCTATGGAAATCATTTACTTGGAAGACAGCCTGTAAGATCTGACTTTTTAAAAAGTAGTATTTCATTTTGACAATATATGAATACATTACATGCCACAGAACCTCAAAGACCCTAAAGTCCTTAGCTGTTTTCAGAAGCAATTTCTCAATCCAATTTTGTCTCTGATTTTTTGCTAGCAAAACTTTGGGAGTAGCATCTCAAAGCAAAACCTGCCTTTAAGAGAAATGCTGCATTTGAATAAAACCAAACCCAGTGTAAATTGGGATGCCACACTAAAGGAAAAAATAGTGGAACTAAAAGCCAAATAACTGATTATGCAATTTGTTTCATTCCTGTTTTGCTAATTCATAGTCTAAGGAGGGCTTTGTTCCTTCCTAGTGCATCTTCTCTTGCAGTCAAATCAGTGCTCAATTTCCACTGTCATATTAAGGGATGAAGACCTCACTGTTACTCCAAGAGGAAAAAAATTGAGGTGTGGGTGCAGACTTCATTATCTAAAATGCAACAAAACAAAGTATTTGTGCAAAAAAAAAAGTAATCTGTACATTGACTTTTTCATTAAGTTTGCTTCAGTATAAAAAAACCTCTTCAATCCTACTAACAAAGCTTTGCTTTGATTTATGACCCTTCAACACTCTCGAGAGTTCCACGTTTTTACTCATTCTAATTTGGTAAATTAACAATCCAGCCACCATTTTTGCACTCCAAGACAACGACGGAAGCTCCATTATATTAATTTTTAATAGTCTGGGGCAGTTACTTTTATTCAAGACAAGTTTTTCCTGTGTTCTACAGGCACAGTGCTTGTTTAACTGGCCTTGGGAACAAAACAGCCAGAAATAAGCCAGGTCACTTTCTATGGCAGTGCAGAGCATCCTGGCCCCCCTGCCCCCCTTTTTTTTAATGGTTGTTGCTAAAATTACTTCCTTTTTAAATAGGAACAAGCTACTCCAAAAGCTTCTCAATTCTTTTTTTTTTTCAGCTTCTAAGGATTGAAAGCAGCTTTCTAAATCTACTTCTAGATTTGAAAATCCAGAGTTAGAACACAATAGTGGTAATTTTCTAGAAAGCACAGAGAACTCTCTCAGTTTGCTGCTTCATTAGGAAGGGGTGTGAGAGAGACAAAGTCTGACCAGCTCTTTACTGCACCATCAAGGAGCCGATTCCATTGCTCCCTCAGTCTGTATCCTAATGATTTTTAAAATCACAGAGTAGGAATTTCCAAACGGTAATGGGACTACAGAACTCTGCCTGGGCAAGTGACTCCCTCTCAGGAATCGACACCCACATCCCAGTGAGGGAATGCACTGAGTGAACCTGGCAATGCCCACCAGTGCCTGAAGAGTGTGCCAGGCACGCTCCTACTGCACCTCCAGTGTGCACATTTACCTTAAAATCATTTTATCTCATTGCTGCCAAGGCTGCTAACTCAGCTGGTTGGTTCCATCTCCTACCAGACCCAGCAGGACTGAAACTACAGAAATTCCTTACCCCCCACAGCTACTACCCTTCTTTTCATGTGGGAATTCATTAGCTCCATGATTGCTCTAACAATCTGCATATTCTGCCTAACCCCAAGCCCACCTCGCTCCTCTAGATAATTGCAGACATAGCAGTAGCACAATGTGTCATTAACGCGACAGTGACTTCCCTTTTTAAAGCAAAACCACGAGGAAGAGGCTTTAAAAAAGGCAAGGGCACACACCCATTTCTGTTCATCGTAGTCTGCACACAAATTGTAAAGGAGAATTATTGCTTTTTAAGGATGAAAAGCTTTGGAAATATGGTAAACATCCTACAAGGTTCTAAATCTAGTCAGCTAAAATTCTGTACATACTTTAATGTTCAAGCCTCTATTTGCTTACTCAAGATCAAATAATTTCATTTTCACATCTATTCATTAAACTCTTTATAGTTCTACGGTCTAATGAATATTTAACAACTAAATAGGATCAAAACATGGGGGAAAGGTCACATGGCAATGAACATTATTTCATTTGGCCAATGAATAGTGAACCCTGCTCTCTTGGCTGAAATTAAGGCACTAAGTGGCAGTAAAAGGATAAAGGAATGAAGTTTTTTTTTCGACATTATCTGAAAAAAGACCAACATGACTTTTTTTTTTTTTTAGGACGCCAGTAGAGTACATATCCATTCTGAATGACTCAGTAAGGCATTCTATTGGCAAATTCAAAGAAAATGTTCTCCTGATTAGAGCCCATTACATTCATTGTCTGAGTGTGACTAGTGGCACTACTAAGTGTTAACAACCTGGAGGGGGAGAAAAGCTACAAAGATGTCTGAAGACTTGAAAGGCACCAAAAAGAGAACAGCTCTGCAACTGCCAGTTCTACAAACAATTATGTAAGCTGTGTTTAACACTGCATATAGTCTACTTTCAATCAACAATCTTTGTTGACCAAGATAAAGTATAGTAGCTCTTCATTTAAACTCTCAGTTAATCAAGTGCTAGTTTAGTAAGAAATTTATTTTCACATACCAGAAAATAATTGCAGTGTCTAACACAACTACACTTAAAGCAAAACTAGTCTAGTATGCATTATGCATTATTCTGGTTAACACTGAAGCAAACCTGTATAAACAAAAGGGTTACCTCGAGATACATAGTTTACAATATAAAATCAACATATAAATGAATAGGATTTACTGAAAACAATGGAAAGTGTATTACAAAGATACATGTAACAATTTTAACCACAATATTTCCTCTGTGAAAAATACAACTATTAGTGAGATAAAATGTACAATTGAATTTTTTTTTTTCCAAAAGAAAAAAAAAAAACACAGTATAAAGGAAAATATTTTTTTCTTCAAAACAGGGAAAATAGTTAAGGTCATTGTCTTTCATTACAATATAATTTGACACAAAAGCAGTCATAGGATTGCACCAACTCCATGTTCAGTCTCCTGAACATGACAATAGTAAAAGGAGTCCATAAAGCATAATGAAATTTCTGGATTTTATGATGGCAATATACGTATGCAGAAACTGATGTCACTCCAGCTCTGTTCACAAAATGTACAAAATTCTAAATTTGGTGGCCAGACATGTAAAAATTAGTTCGCCCCAACGCTGACTTTTCTCTCACTTAGGGATGGAAAAATCTGTAGTATTTTAAGTGTTGTTATCTGTTGAGCAATAAAAAAGAAAAAAAAGTATATGTAGTGCATGCTTCATCACTTGTCAAAAACATTTCTGAAAATAAAACTAAGTTATCCAATAGTTTACAAAATCGAAAATAACTCTTCAGGTTAAAAATGTGATTAGGTTTATGTTTAGTTCCATCTCCAAAGGACTGATCTCCTTGGCAGCATCACTTTTCCTTAGCACGAGCCAAGGCACAGAGTTCCATAAAGAGAAATAGAAATGGCTACGAACAAGAATGCAGTCTGGCATTGTACAAGAAATCAGAGCCTCTCTCGGAGCTTTCTGTTCCATCAGGTTAGTGCCGTAGGAAAAGGTGGCATTTGGGATACATTTTTGTTATGAGCATTTCTGCTGGACACGATTCAAAAGTTCACCAAACTTTTCAAAAAGATCCTCCACCCATTTTATGTTTTTCATGCACAGCTGCACAATCTCTTCCTGGCCTAGATCTGCACTCGTCTTCTGAACAGAAGAAATCTATTTTAAAAAGAGAAGGAGGGGGAGAGAGATGCACACACACACGTTAGGCTGCCAG